AGCCAGGCAAGATGTCGGGTGCCTGTAATCCCAGCTAATCAGGAGGCTAAGGTGGGAAAATCACTTGAACCCAGGAGACAGAGGTGGCAGTGAGCTGAGAATACGATATTGCACTCCAGACAGGGCGACAGAGTGAGACTTCGTCAGATAAATAAAGCAGTATGCCCTAAAAACATAGTCTTTTTAAAAACCCAAAAAACCAAGCCAGACACGGTGGCTCACACCTATAATCTCAGTACTTTGGGAGGCTAAGGCAGGCAGAACCCTTGAGCTCAGGAGTTCAAGACCAGCCTGGCCAGCATGGTGATACCCTGTCTCTAGTAAAAATACAAAAATTAGCTGGGCCTGGTGGCCTATGCCTGTGATCTCAGCTACTTGGGAGGCTAAGGCAGGAGAATGGCTTGAACACACGAGGGTGAGGCTGCAGTGGGCTGAGATTGTACCACTTCACTCCAGCCTGGGCAACAAGAAGACTCTGTCTCAAAAAAAATACAAAATTAGAAATAGAAAATCATGGTTACAGAATTAATATACCCCTTGGTAGAAGAGACAAAAGAATTGGCAAGAACATAAAAGATTGAATAGCATGATTAACACACTTGTCCTAATGGAAGTATTTTTAAAAATTAAATCCCCAAACTTATTTTTTTTTGGTAGAAGTTATTTTACATTCACATAAAATACTTTATTTTTCACAGCCTAATTACACTCATCCTTTTCTTTAACCCAGGAAGACAGAGAGAAAAGAGAGCAACTTAAGTTGCCTAAAGCTGAACTTGGACATCACCAAGCCTCTAGAAAGGCAGAAGATTATGAAATAATACTTTAATAAACATTTTTAATTTAATAAGCACGTGTTGTTCTATAAGGTAGAAAATACATCAGGTCATTATAGTTGACTATCAACGTTTTTGGACTGCATGGGTCCGCTTATTCGCAGATAATTTTTTTTTCCAGAAAGAATCTTGCTCTGTTGTCCATGCTGGTGCACAGCGGCGTAATCTTGGCTCACTGCAACCTCCACCTCCCAGGTTCAAGCTATCCTCCTGCCTCAGCCCTTCTAGTAGCTGGGACTACAGGTGGGCGCCACCATGCCTAATTTTTGTATTTCTAGTAGAGATGGGGTTTCACCATATTGGCCAGGCTGGTCTGGAACTCGTAACCTCAGATGATTCGCTCACCTCGGCCTCCCAAAGTGCTGAGATTACAGGCGTGAGCCACTGCATCAGGCCTCACATACCTTTTTCTTCCTTCTTTCTGAGATGGAGTCTTGCTCCGTCGCCCCGGCTGGAGTGCAATGGTGTAATCTTGGCTCACTGCAACCTCCGCCTCCCGTGTTCAAGCTATTCTCCTGTCTCAGCCTCCTGAATAGCTGGGACTACAGGCACCCGCCATCACACCCAGCTAATTTTTGTATTTTTTTTTAGTACACACTGGGTTTCACCATATTGGTCAGGCTAGTCTTGAACTTGTGACATCAGGTGATCCACCCACCTGGGCCTCCCAAAGTGCTGGGATTACAGGCATGAGCCACTGCACCAGGTCACAGATCTTTTTCAATAGAGGTGATGTGGAATGGATCTGCCTTTCCAGCCTCACCTTCCACCTATCAAATCCGAAAACTTCTGAATGTACTTTATTTTGAAGCACGTAAAGAACCTTTTCAAAATTGACTGTCAGTGGACCATAAAGCAACTCAATACATTTTAAAGAATTTAGGCCAGGCGCAGTGGCCCACACCTGTAATCCCACCACTTTGGGAGGCCCAGGAGGGCAGATCACCGGAGGTCGGGAGTTTGAGACCAGCCTGACCAACATGGAGAAACCCCGTCTCTACTAAAAATACAAAATTAGTCGGGTGGTGGCGGCACATGCCTGTAATACCAGCTACTCAAGAGGCTGAGGCAGGAGAATCACTTTTACCTGGGAGGCGGAGGTTCCCATGAGCCGAGATCGCACCATTGAACTCCAGCCTGAGTGACAAGAGTGAGACTCCCTCTTAAAAAAAAACAAAAACAGAATTTAAACCATACAGCTCTGTACTCTGATTCTAATGCAATTTAAACTGGACACCTGTAACAAAAAGAGAAGTAGAAACTCCTCACGTGTCTGGAAATTAAAACATGCTTTTCTCACGTGCCCATTGGTCAGGGAAAAAGAAGTATAATGGAAATGAGAAAGTAATTCAAATGAAGTGATTGTGAAATTACTAAACACAAAACTTCAACAAAAATTTTGTACGCTGAAAATACTGGCTAGCTGGGCACAGTGGCTCAGGCCTATAATCCCAGCATTTTGGGAGGCTGAATCAGGAAGATTGCTTGAGCCGAGGAGTTCAAGACTAGCCTGGGGAACACGGTGAAACCTTGTCTCTCTAAAAAATTCAAAAATTGGCTGGGCTCCTTGGCTCACACCTGTAAAGCACTTGGGGAGGCTTAGGCAGGCAGATCATGAGGTCAGGAGTTTAAAACCAGCCTGGCCAACATGGTGAATCCCCATCTCTACTAAAAATACAAAAATCAGCTGGGTGTGGTGGTGCACGCCTGTAGTCCCAGCTACTCAGGAGGCTGAGGCAGGAGAACTGCTTGAACTCAGGAGGCGGAGGCTGCAGTGAGCCCAGACCACGCTATTGCACTCCAGCCTGGATTACAGAGCAAGACTCCATTAAAAAAAATTAAGATTGATAAAAACTGATTTACTGGCCAGGCGTGGTGACTCACACCTGTAATCTCAGCACTTTGGGAGAACAAGGCAGGTGGATCATGAGGTCAAGAGATCGAGATTATCTTGTCCAACACGGTGAAACCCTATCTCTACTAAAAATACAAAAATTAGCTGGGCATGGTGGCACATGCCTGTAGTCTCAGCACTCAGGAGGCTGAGGCAGGAGAATTGCTTGAACCCAGGAGGCAGAGGTTGCAGTGAACTGAGATCATGTCACTGCACTCCAGCCTGGTGACAGAGCAAGACTCCGTCTCAGAAAAACAACAAAAAACCAATTATTTACTATTGACACAAAACAGGTGACTTTTTGCCTTTAAAATAAACAATATGGAAAATGAAAAAGCATATCACCACAGATTCTGCAGACATGAAAAAGCTTAAATGAGTTCATAATAACTTGATTGTAATAGCTCTGAATTTGTAGATGAAATGGGCAAATTTCCAGAAAAATATGGTTTACCAAAATTGACACAAAAAAATAGATAAAATTTAAATACTCCCATACCACTTCAGAACTTGAATTCATAAGTGAAAACTTTTCTACAAATGCTTCAGGCAGGGCACAGTTCACTCTTGTCATCTCAGCACTTTCATAGGCCAATGAGGGAGGATCGTGTGAGCCCTGGAGTTTGCAACCAGCTTGAGTAACATCGAGAGACCTCCTCTCTACAGAAAAGTTTTTTTTTTTTTTTTTTTTTTTGGGACGGAGTTTCGCTCTTGTTACCCAGGCTGGAGTGCAATGGCGCGATCTCGGCTCACCGCAACCTCCGCCTCCTGGGTTCAGGCAATTCTCCTGCCTCAGCCTCCTGAGTAGCTGGGATTACAGGCACGCGCCACCATACCCAGCTAATGTTTTGTATTTTTAGTAGAGACGGGGTTTCACCGTGTTGACCAGGATGGTCTCGATCTCCTGACCTCATGATCCACCCGCCTCGGCCTCCCAAAGTGCTGGGATTACAGGCTTGAGCCACCGCGCCCGGCCCTCTACAGAAAAGTTTTAAAATCTTGTAGTCCCACCAACTCTGGAGGCTGAGTGGGAGGACTGCTTGAGTTCAGGGGTTCAAGCTGCAGTGAGCTCTGATCCAGCCACTGCACTCCCTCCAGCCTGGCTGACAATTAGATTATGTCAAAAAACAACAACAGCAACAAAAACTCCATTCTGAGTCTATGTAACTTCCCCAGCAAATTCTAGCAAACATTTAAAGAAATGATGCCAATCTGATGCAAATTCCTGTGCAAAATAGAAAAGGGAAAATACTTCCCAAGTTGTTTTTGAGGCACTATTACTTTAATATCAAATGCTGACAAGAACATTAAAGAAAAGAAAAATTAGCCAATGTCATTCATGCATATGGATGCCGAAATCCCAAACAAAATATAAATAGATCCAACTTTATTTTTTTTGTTGTTTCTTTTTTTGAGACAGAGTGTTGCTCTGTGGACCAGTCTGCACTGCAGTGGCGTGATCTCGGCTCAGTGCAACCTCCACCTCCTGGGTTCAAGTGATTCTCCTGCCTCAGCCTCCTAAGTAGCTGGGATTACAGGTGCTCACCCCCATGTCCAGCTATTTTTTATTTTTAGTAGAGACAGGGTTTCACTGTGTTGGCCAGGCTAGTCTTAAGCTCCTGATCTTAAGTGATCCGCCCGCCTCAGCCTCCCAAAGTGCTGGGATTACTGGGGTGAGCTCTCGCTGTGCCGCCTAGACTAGAGTGCGTTGATTTGATCATAGCTCGCAGTAGCCTCCATCTCCTGACCTCAAGTCATTCTTCGGACTCAGCCTCCCAAGTAGTTGGGACTATAGGCCTGCACCACCACACCTGACTTTTTTTTTTTTTGTACTTTTTTGTAGGGATAAGATCTCACTATGTCACCCAGGCTGGCCTTGACCTCCTGGGCTTGAGTGATCTGCCCGCCTTGGCCTCCCAGAGTTCTGGGATTACAGGCATGAGCTACTGCACTAAGCCAGCATTTCATTTGATTTATGTTTTTCTGAGACAGAGTTTCGCTCTTGTTGCCCAGGCTGGAGTGCAATAGCCCGATCTTGGCTCACTGCAACCTCTGCCTCCTGTGTTCAAGTGATTCTGCTGTCCCAGCCTCCCAGCTGGGACTACGGAAGTGCACCACCACAACCGGCTATTTTTTGTATTTTTAGTAGAGATGGGGTTTCGACATGTTGGCAAGGCTGGTCTTGAACTCCTGACCTCTGGTGATCCACCCACCTCGGCCTCCAAAAGTGCTGAGACTACAGGGGTGAGCCACTGCGCCAAGCCAAGATCCAGTATTTTAAAAGGATAATCCACATATATGAGTTTGGGTTTATTTTAGGAATGCAAGATAGTATTACATGAAAATCAAAATATGTAATTTATTCATTAGTGCAGCAAAGGAAGGATAAAATAATGTAATTATCTTAGTGCAGAGAAAACTGTAAAACATTCAAATCTATTCGTGACCAAAATTCTTAGCAAACCAGGAATAGAGAACTTCCTTAACCTGTCAGAGTATCTACAGAAACTTTTCAGCCCATATCATACTTAGAAGTGAAATGGTAGCGAGGCACAGTAGCCTACACCTGTAATCCCAGCACTTTCAGAGGCCAAGGCATATGGCTTGAGCTCAGAAGTTTGAGACAAGCCTGGAAAAGAAGGTGAAACCACAAATGTATAGAAAATACACAAATTAGCTAGGTGTGATGGTCCATGCCTGTAATTGCAGCTACTTGGAAGGCAGAGGTGGGAGAATCGCTTCCGCCCAAGAGGTTGAGGCTGCAGTGAGCCTACATTGTACCACTACACTCCAGCCTGGGCAAGAGAGTGAGACCGTTTCAAAATAAGACTAAATAAAATAAATGTGGACTTACAAAGAGCTCGGAATAAAAAGAAGCTAACTTTTTTTTCCCCCCCAGATGGAGTCTTGCTTTGTCACCCAGGCTGGAGTGCAGTGGTGCTATCTCAACTCAATGCAACCCTCCCGGGTTCAAGCGATTCTCCTACTTCAGCCTCTGGAGTAGCTGGGATTACAGGTGCCCACCATCATGCCCAGCTAATTTTTTTTTTTATTTTTAGTAGATACAGGGTTTCCTTATGTTGACCAGATTGGTCTAGAATTCTTGACCTCAGGTGGTCAGCCCACCTCAGCTTTCCAAAGTGCTGGCATTACTAATCGCCCAAAATTGGAAACAATCCCAAAAGCGATTATCAGCAAAATATAGTCTTTGTTTAGAATAGATCGATGGTGGTGTATTCATAAAATGGATACACCAGAGCGATGAAAATAAATTCTAGATATATGCAAAAATGCAGAAGAATTCTATAAACCATATTGAGCAAAAGACATCTAAGTGCAGGAGTTCAAGTAAAAAAAAAAAGACAACGGATACATACTCTTACTTACATAAGGGGTTTGATGCACAGAGATAAATACATTAAATAATAGATAATAACTAGGCCAATCCGCAGGATATTAGTCGTAATCCGACTTCTGAAGGGATGAGGGGCATGTGAGGCTTTAGGGAAGCTTGCGCTTTCCTGGCAAGGTTTTATTTTTGTTCAGGGAGCTATCAGCCAGCGGAGAGAACTGTGAGAAGGGATAAGACGCAGGAGAAGTAGGGGGCAGGGCCTTCCGCAGGCCACGCCCGGGTGGACCCAAGTGAGCGGCGGAGACAGCGCCCAACCCGCTCCAGCCTGGAGCAGGAGCACCAGCGTGGCCTGTGGACCAGGCCCCTCACAGGCAACCACGGAGAAACCAGACTGGGCGACATCTAGGAAAACGGAGGAAAGGATCGGCGAACCGCTCCTCCAATGGGAAGGGCTGTATTTGCGGACCAATAGGGCGCCGAGAATGACACGCGTCCGCGGGCCTGCCAAGCCAATCGGCTAGAAGCAGCGAGCGGCGGGCGGGGCTGGGGGGCCGCAGCCCAGTGGAGCAGCGCGGCATGGCGGGCGGGGCCCGGGAGGTGCTCACGCTGCAGTTGGGACATTTTGCCGGTTTCGTGGGCGCGCACTGGTGGAACCAGCAGGTGAGGTCTGCCGCCAGCTGCCCCCGCGGAGCCCTTCGGGATCTACAGTCCCGACGTTCAGCCGGCCTGCCTCATCCTCTCGGCCTCCCCAAGATGCTGCCCTGGGCCGAGCGACAGATGCTAAGGAGCCGCCGGGAGAGCTGTGCCCCGACGTCCTGTATCGTACGGGCCGGACGCTGCACGGCCAGAAGACCTACACGCCGCGACTCATCCTCATGGATCTGAAGGGTGAGGTGGTGGCAGGGTCAGCCGATGCCCCGTGTTTCCCTTCCGTGTGCCGAGTCCCTGCCCTGCCGTTCGCTTCAAGACCCTCCCACCTTCCTGAGCTCAAGGACCAGAGATAAGGAGCTGAGCACAATGTGCCAGCACCCGAGGGGCGCAGGACGGCAAAACTTTATTCTGCTCCAGAGCCATCTCGGGAACAGGCTGCTAGGCCCTGAAGACAGTGAGGACTTGAACTACAGCATTCCTTTCGGACCGCTGGATGTAGTTTTTGACCCCAGTCCCATAGCTAATGACTAAGCTGGGAACGGAAATATAGAATCTGTATTATCCTAGGCCTAGGCTCCCCCCCACCCCAACTGGTATATATCCCAGAAAGCTTAGAAGAGCCAAGTGCTGGAGAGATGGTGACAGCAGGCTGTCAGGTAATCAGGAAGTTTAGCTAGAGGCGTAGGGTGCCCCAGGCTTCGACCTCATTGTTATTTCTGTACAGGTAGTTTGAGCTCCCTAAAAGAGGAAGGTGGACTCTACAAGGACAAACAGCTGGATGCTACAATAGCATGGTGTGTAATTGATGAGAGGGGTGGGGAACATGTATGTACATAGAACGCTGGAAAACTCATCAGAGTGTGGTTTCTCTGATCAATCTCCAATCTCTTTCAGGCAGGGGAAGCTTACCACACACACAGAGGAACTCGATCCTTTATCTCCAGGACTTTCTGAGTGCAGAGGTGAGGGCCTCTGCCCTGAACTTTTTAACCCAGTGCTACAACCCGAGGGCCTCCATAGGGGCAGGTAAAAGAGGATTTTAATCACCTTAAATGACTTAGAATGACATTTTGGGAAAAAGCACATCTTTTCCTAAGGACCTCGGCTGAGTGAACAGAAAGGAGGCTGTATGGTGTGGTCAGCCAACTCGAGGATAAACCAACCTTTGCCTCTAAACTGCCTGGAACTAAATGAGGGTTTTTCTCACCTCTGCCAGGGAGTGCTGTGTAGTGATGGTGTTTGGAGGGTCAAATCCATTCCCAATGACAAAGGTGAGACTTCCCCAGATACTGGTGGATGGGGGTCTGGGTGGAGCAGAAATGTGGAGAAAGATACATTTCCTCTACTTGTCTTCAGGTCCCCCACCACTCACCACGTCTACAACTCCAACACCACTTATCCCTACAGAGGGCAGCATCAGGGTTTGGTCAGACTTCCTCAGAGTCCATCTCCATCCCCGGAGCATCTGTATGATTCAGAAGTACAATCACGATGGGTATGGAGGCCCCAGAGGCTGTGAGGCAAGAAACTTGGGTCCCCACCAATGCTGGATGAGGCTCTTGAGGCCATCTTCCCTGCCCTCCCCCAGGACAAGAGGTTGAGGAGTTGAGAGGAAGAGATGCAAGTCTTGGGTCGTGTTTATTTGTGGCAGGGAAGCAGGTCGGCTGGAGGCTTTTGGCCAAGGGGAAAGTGTCCTAAAGGAACCCAAGTACCAGGAAGAGCTGGAGGACAGGCTGCACTTCTACGTGGAGGAATGTGACCACCTGCAGGTCGTGGCATGGCTATGTGTACCCCAGGGTGGAAGCTCTTCTCATCCTCCTCCCTAACTATCTTTCGTCACTCACTTCTGCCCAGGGCTTCCAGATCCTGTGTGACCTGCACGATGGCTTCTCTGGGGTAGGCGCTAAGGCCGCTGTCTGTAACTGGCTCTGTTCCTGAGGCCTGAGCTTGAACTCAGCTGTGATGTGGCCGCTCAGGTCACACTGTCCTGTGCTTGTCCAGCCTGGGGCCAAATGTACCCCTGCTTCATCCCCTGGATCTCTCTGCCATTAATATTCTGCCTCCACACTCTTCCCGGCCCGAGGCCAAGTGCCCCTCTTGGTGTCTTGTTACAGGCCACTCTGCCCTTCCACTGCAGTGCCATCCTGGCTACAGCCCTGGACACATTCACTGCTCCTTATCGCCTGTGCTCCTCCCCAGTTTCCATGGTTCAGCTGGCTGACATGCTGAGCTTCTGTGGGAAAAAGGTACGAAGCTTTGGGAGTGGTTGGCTCAGTGCTGAGGAAGTCCTGTAACCTGTTCTCTTCCTTATCTTTAGGTGGTGACAGCAGGAGCAACCATCCCTTTCCCCTTGGCTCCAGGCCAGTCCCTTCCTGACTCCCTGATGCAGCTTGGAGGAGCCACCCCATGGACCCCGCTGTCTGCATGTGGTGACCTTTCTGGAACACGTTGCTTTGCCCAGTCAGTGGTGCTGAGGGGTATAGACAGAGCCTGCCACACAAGGTGAGAACTGTTGGTCCTTAGGACCCCTTGTCAGATTTTTGTTTCATGTCCTTTTCTCCCTGGTTTCTCTGGGCCATTCTAATGATAGTGTTCCCTCCCCACCCCTTAGAAAAGGCAAAAAAAAGTCTCTGAACATCTTGATCCAGCTGATGGCCTAAGAATGTAAGAATTCTTCATTTCTTATTCATGCTGCCATAGACCAATGGCGGTTTGGCTTTGTTCTGGCAGTCAGCTCACCCCAGGGACTCCTCCACCCTCCTCCCTGCAGGCGTGTACCACTGGGGAGGAAGTGTTGGCCCAGTATTTACAGCAGCAGCAGCCTAGAGTCATGAGGTCAGTGTAACAGTTCGCTCCTGCCCTTCTTGCCAACCTCAGCCTTCCCTTGGCTTCACTTAACGGCTGTTCTCTGCCCCACAGTTCTTCCCATCTGCTGCTGACTCCCTGCAGGGTGGTTCCTCCTTACCCCCACCTCTTCTCAAGCTGCAGTCCGCCGGGTATGGTTCCGGATGGTTCCCTGAAGGGAGCGGGTATGTGAGAGATGAAGAAAACAGATTTCAAGTATGGGAGAGTTTTTTCTATCTCCTTCCCTGGATTAAAAGTGCTTAAGAGGTCCACAGTTAACCATTCCTTTATTCACCCTATGGCTCCCAAGAAGTGTTCTTCCTCTGGAGTACTGGTGTACTAAGGGGGCAGTACACAAAATTTATTGAGTTTACAATCAAGACTACCAAGGGTGGACTTCCTTATCAGTTTGACAGAGCCCTGGGGTAGAATAATCATCCATCTACAGGTCTGGCTTTTCTCTCCCTCCACAGCAGTGGAGAGCATCCCAGTGTTTGGGGCACTGTGTTCCTCTTCGTCCCTGCACCGGACTCTGGAAGCCTTGGCCGGAGACCTCACCAAACTCGACGTGCGGCGCTGGGCCAGCTTCATGGATGCTGGAGTGGAGCACGATGACGTAGCAGAGCGGCTGCAGGAGCTGCGAAGCCTGGCCCAGTGCTACCAGGACGGTGACTGACAGCCTCGTGGGCTCAAGTTCCCAGTGTGGGGGAGGCGCTAGCTTGCAATAACAACGGCTGGATGCAGGTGTCTTCGTGCAGAGGAGCTGTGTCGCAAGACTAGCTACACCAACATACGTACTTATTACATTTAGAAACCCTGTGATTAGACCACAGAACAATAAATATGTGCCATCAGACCAAGCAAAGGTAGAGAAAGGACCTGAGCTCCACTCGATGCTATTTACAGAGCACATCCCTAAGGTTTTCATAAAAGACCATGAAGGATGCCTAGGATGGCACAGCCCCTGGGCCTGACTCCAACCTCCAGCCTTTGTCCTCGTCCTGGGCTCCTGCTGTCCAGCTTTGTAAACTGGGTGCAAGGGTTGTACAAGGAGAGTACAGCTCCCCTCCTCCCCGGTGTCAGGGCGCCTGTTGGGTTTGGTCCTGTGTAGATGATACCCAAGCATTCCCAGAGTCTCATTCATCCAGCTCCTCTTCAGATAGAAGGTCCCCATGGTCAGACAGCTGGTCTGCATTGCTGGTACTGGTCGCATCATCCTCATCCTCAGAGCTGGCCTCACACGCAGTGTGGAAGAGCTGCATGAGTTCTCGAAAACGGTGGGAAACCTGAGAGAGGAGGAGGGTGTATTCACTGAGCCTGAGAAACAGGTTAACATCTACGAAGCACTTCAGCCTTATTTGGGAACTTTTATTTATTCCACACAGCAAGGTTGGGAGAGCGATGTCTTTATAGATAAGGACACTAAGAAGCTAAATGTTTTGCCCAAAGTCACACGCCTCCTAAAAACAAAACTAGAATGGAAACTCAGAGCTTCTACCTCAAAATCCTGGCTGGGTGCAGTAACTCACGCCTGTAATCCCAGTGCTTTGGGAGGCTGAGGCGGGCGCATCACCTGAGGTAGGAGTTCAAGACCAGCCTGGCCAACATGGTGAAACCCTGTCTCTATTAAAAATAAATAAATTAGCCAGGCATGGTGGTGGGCAGCTGTATTCCCAGCTACTTTGGAGGCTGAGGCAGGAGAATCACTTGAATCCAGGAGGTGGAGGTTGCAGTAAGCTGAGATCACACCACTGCGCTCCAGCCTGGGCAACAAGAGCAAAACTCTGTCTCAAATTAAAAAAAAAAAAAGTCCTCAAAATCCAGTGTCCTTTCTGTTCTAGAACCACGACCAGCCTGACGAGTCGAGCCTTTCCTTAGATCAGACCTTTACAATAACCACTTAGTGTCCTGGCTCTGAAAACTCCTCCTTTGGTCTTTGTCTTAGTTGGCCACCTTGGCCTCTCTTTGCTGGGCCTTCTCCCTCCCCAGCCCACTTACCTCAGCAGGGGTCTTATTTCCCAGCTGCTGGGAGATGATGCTGAAGGTCTGTGGCTGTGCCCCTTGTTCCTGGCAGATGGTGAGGATCACACGGTCAGCTTCCCTGTAACCCGGGTATCATGGTTAATCCTAGGGAGCCACATGGATGTGGTCTATGCTCTTTTCCAAACACGTCACCCACCCGTACCTACCTTGTCCATAGGACCACCTTTTCCCCCGTGGAGCTGACCTTGCTGTTGTTGGCACACACTGTAGCTTCTGTGGCCTTTGGCTGCTGCTCCCCCTCTGGACCCTTGCCCTGTGTTCCACTGTCTTTAGCCAAACCCCCTCTAGGGGCTTTGGGAGAAGTCTCTGAGGTGTCAATTCCTGATGGAGATTCATGAACAGGGGATGTCCTGTCTCTTGTCTTCACCCTAGCTCTGCTTGAGGGCAGCCATCTCTCTTGAGTGTCTGGTTTCCCGGACACATGTCTTCTCCCTGCATCTCTGGTCTTTGAGGAAACAGGACTCAGGAAGGAAGCGGGGGGTTCCACGGCACCAGGCAATTTCTCAGTTTCGGATGCATCCCAGACCAGCATCAAAGCCTCGGACTCACCCACTGCCTTTTGGCCCTCTCTCTCTTTCTGAAGTCTGGGGGATGCCTTGGGGCAGGGGAGAACCTCAGGCCCAACCTGGTTTCTCTTAACAGTGTATAGTACAGCTCCAGTTTTGGGGGGAAACTGAGGAGTCTCTGGTGAATGAGGTGGTGGGCCATCCAGGAGCCGCTCTGTAAGAGTCACTTCTCGAGGGGACGGCAAAGTGCCCCCCACTGCCAATCCTGCTCAGGAGGAAAATAAGGATCTCAGGGTACTGTCAGGATCGAGATGCACCTAAGCACAAGAAATTACCATAGGGTCACTGTGGCCAGGTACTGTGCGAAAATTCGCCTACAAGAGGGCTGGCATGGTGGCTCACACCTATAATGCCCGCACACTGGGAAGCCAGGCGGTGGGATTGCTTGTTGCCAGGAATTTGAGACTAGTCTGGGCAATATGGTGAGACCCCCATCTCTACAAAAAAAAAATAAAGAATAGAAGAGTTGGGTGGAGGTGGGGAGTGTCATCTCACTTACGCAAAGATAAAAAGTCCTACTGCCACAGCTGAGAATGTCGCGGGTCTTTAGGATGTACATTACAGCAGATTTGGAGATGGGGGAAGGGTTTTAGGAATGGAAACACAAGACAATGTTGAATCGTGTGAAATCTGTAGCACTCTTCATTCTGTAAGACGAGTGAGGCCATAGGATAGAAAAAGCCTGAACAGGAGAAGGGCTTCCTATGGGTCCATCAGTGAAAGAGGTGGTACATCCATCCTGAAAAGGCTGTTATTTATCTGGGCTCATGGAGGTTCCTGTCTGGAGTACAGGAGAATGAAACTGAGAAACAGAAGGGCCAGGTTGGCAGTCAGATCACTCACCTGAAACGGGCATCTCTCCCTTTCTTGTGGTCCTGACAGTCCTGCTCTGGGTGGCCTCAGTGCTCTCCCGCTCCTCTGGGACCTCCTCTTCCATCACATCCTTGCTCTGCCCCACATCCTTAGCACCAGGCATAGGACTAGCCTCTCGGTGGGGGCTGCTGCCCACCAACTCATGGAGCTCCTTGCTCTTGTAGGATTTGCTGTCACAGACCTGCAGGGATGGCCTTCGGGGTCAAAGGTGTCCTGATCGCCTATGTCTTTGGGGCCCACCAAAGGAAGAAGCCCTGCCCGATGCTCACCAAGTCAATCAACATGCATGTGTGCTCCAACAATTTGGTTGACAGGGTTTAAACTGGATGTACTGGTACATGCCTGTAAACCCAGCTACTTGGCAGGCTGAGGTGTGAGGACCACTTGAGCCCAGTGGTTCAAGACCAGCCTGGGCAACATGGTGAGACCCTGTCTCAAATGAAAAACAAAAAGAAAAGAGAGACAGAGACAGGGTCTCACAGATGACACAGATGATCTTGCCCAGGCTGGAGTGCAGTGGCTACTTAACAGGTGTGGCCGTGGTGGTACACTATAGCCTCACACTCCTGGGCTCAAGTGATCCTTCCATCTGAGCCTTCCTGAGTGCCCTGGTGCCCAGCTACTCCTCCAAGGATTTGACTTTTTATTTTTTTTTGAGACAGGGTATTACTCTGTCACCTAGGCTGGAGTTCAGTGGTGTGATCATGGTTCACTGCAACCTCTGCCTTCCTGCTACAGGGATTTTAAATGGCCCAAAGTAGAGTACTGGATTCCACAACTCCTTTGTCTTACCAAGAACTGTGCTCTTCCTGCCAACCAACTCCACTCTAGAGAACTAGAATTACTTAAAGAGACTATTCTCATGACAGAGGTTTATTTCATTTTCTAAAATCTGACGGAAATATTTTAACGGGTATTTTGTTTTTCCGATTCCAAAAGCTTTCCTCACAGGATTCTCTTTAAAAAAACAGAATCTATCATATATTTCTAGCAGATTCCAATTATTTTGCATATGTACACGTATGTGTGTACTGAATGCTATTTATAAACGTGTCTTTAGGAATTCAATAAGGTACAATTCTTGGTAGCCCCGAGCAGCTCTGATACCCCTGGGAGCAGTAACCTTGACACTTCCCTCACCTTGCTGCCACAGTGACCACAGTTCCTCCTTTTGCTCTTCTTCAGCTTGGAATCTGGACCTCCTTCATGGCAGGAGCAGGCGCAGTCCTTGGCCCCATCCGGCCACTCAGTCTCCTAGAAGATATCTGGGCTTGATTAGCTGCCAAGATTTTGTGTTTTTTCTGTTTTGAGACGGAGTCTTGCTCTGTTGCCCAGGATGGAGTGCAGTGGTGGGATCTCAGCTCACCGCAACCTCTGCCTCTCGGGTTCAAGTGATTCTCCTGCCTCAGCCTCCCGAGTAGCTAGGATTACAGGCGTGCACCACCATGCCCAGCTAATTTTTGTATTTTTAGTAGAGACTGGGTTTCATCATATTGGTCAGGCTGTCTACAACTCCTGACCTCGTGATCCACCTGCCTCAGCCCCCCAAAGTGCTGGGATTACAGCCGTGAGCCACTGCACCCGGCTGTATTTTTGGTACCAAGAGAGGAAGCTAAGGTTGTGAGCCATAGGAACACAACACCCCCTACCGTCTCCCCATGCTATTTTTTTTTTTTTTTTCCGAGACACAGTCTGGCTCCAGGCTATAATTCAGTAGCACATTCAAGGCTCACTACAACCTCTGCCTCCTGGGCTCAAGTGATTTTGCCACATTAGCCTCCCAAGTAGCAGGGCCTGCAGGTGGGCACCACCACACCTGGCTTTTTTTTTTTTTTTTTTTTTTTTGAGTGCAGAGTGTGAGACTCTGCACTCACGCCCAGGCTAGAGTGCAGTGGTGTGATCTTGGCTCAGTGAAACCTCCACTCCCCAGGTTCAAACAATTCCTGTGTCTCAGCCTCCTGAGTAGCTGGGATTACAGGCGCATGCCACCATGCCCATCCAATTTTTTTTGTATTTTTAGAACAGGTGGGATTTCGCCATGCTGACCAGGCTGGTTTCAAACTCCTGACCTCAAATGATCCGCCTGCCTTGGCCTCTCGAAGTGCTGCGATTAAAGGTGTGAGCCACCGTGACCAGCCCCAGCCTTCTTCTTTTATGTATCATCTCATCACATTGCGTGGGGAAATCAATAGCCCAAACTAGATTAACACACCTATTATGAATCCCTGAAACAATCCCTAAATGACCTAAAGAATGACATATCTCTATCGCCCATATGTTTCAAGAAATATTTAAGACAGGACCTGAGGCGAAGTCACTGAAGAGCTCCATCATGAGATACAATGTCTTTGTTTCTGTCTGTCTGTGCCTTCAGCTCTCCCCTCTCTTCCAATCCCACTGAGAGGGCTTTGTACCCATGGAAGGCTCACTCAATGATACTGTTTAATAAACCCAAGACGTAAGTACCATTATTACCCAAATTTATGATGAAGAAACTGAAAGCTGTTCAAGGTCATACAGCTACTAAGAAATAGTTTCTCCCCAGGAAAGAGAACTGTAAAACATTTGGTCAGGAAATATGAATTTAAAAAAAAAAGACTATTTGAAGAGCCGTGAGAACGAGTAGACTCTATGGCTGGCTTACCTGAGTTCATATCCTAGCATTGCCACTTACTAAATGTAAGACCCTGACAACAGCACACTGCATTTCAGTTATGTCGTCTGTAAAATACAAACAGCAATCTCTTCATAGGATTACTGTGAGAATTAAATGGGTCAATAATCCATGAAAATACTTCCTAGCAATGCCTGACACTTTGTAATACAACTAAGTATAGCTGCTATCACTGTTATTAACATGGGGAAT